GCCGGCACCACCACCGCCCGCCGCCGGGGGGCCCCCAGGTGAGCGCCCTCCCCCTATTCCAGAGCTCATGGAATTGGGGGTCGCGAGTGGCCCATTCGCTCCTTACGGATGATGGCAGGCAGGGAGGTGGGTAGTGGGGGCCCAAGACCACCTGGTCATATGTCTGAGTCCTGGCCTCTTCCTGGCCACCCTTACCCCAGGCTATGTTCATGCGGGGTCACGAGTATCAGGATTTCGTTGGGGATGCGCCTGGACTCCGCTTCAGGTTGACTGCTGCATGGGTGGATGTGCAAGAGGGTGTCCGTCTTATCTTCCCTCCCCCAGGGTTATGAAAGATGCTAGGCCCTGGGCTGTGGGGACAATCCTGCATGTACTGTACGTCCGGCGGGTGTATGTGTGGGCCGGGTGCTGGCGCGGGCAGTGGGCACAGGGAGGAAGGCGGGGGAGCTGACATGAGGCCCCCTCAGAGGGTCTGACGCAGCAGCAGGCACTGCCGAGCGGGCAGCAGGCCGGGTGGGGTGGGGGTGGGGGGTACTGCAGGGAACTGTTTGGGCAAGTGGGAACGTGGGACCCTGGGGCGAGTAGGTTCTAGCCTCCTGGTGACCAGGTGGTTGAGGGTGTGTAGGATACTCTTTGGGACAAGAATGGGTGTGTGCTGTGTACTTCCAGGGCCAACTGCAGGTGAGGGGTGAGAGCTTGTGTCAGCAGCCCTGTAGGGTCACCCCAGCTCCCAGGTCCTGGAGTTGCCCAGGCCCTGCTGTTGGACAAGGGAGGTGGGGAGAAGTCAACATTTGCACTCAGCCCTGATCTTTAACCCTGTGGTGTCCCTCAGGTACCCCCAGCCCTGCCACAGGAAGGAAATGGGCTCAGTGCCCGCGTGGATGAGGGTGTGGAAGAATTCTTCTCCAAAAGGCTGATCCATCAGGATCACCTGTGAGTGAGGGGCAGTTGCAAGGGGTGGGAGAGGGTGGGATGGGCCTTCCCACTCACTGCTGGCTGTTCCCACAGCTGGGCCCCCGAGGAGGACCCGGCCACTGAGGGGGGTACCACCCCTGTCCCCCGCACACTTCGAAAGAAGCTTGGCACCCTCTTTGCCTTCAAGAAGCCTCGTTCAACACGTGGGCCACGGCCTGATCTAGAGACCAGCCCTGGAGCAGCTCCCCGAACTCGAAAAACTACACTTGGGGACCTGTTGCGGCCACCAGCCCGTCCTGGGCGTGGTGAGGAGCCTGCTGGAGCCGAGGGGGCCACCAGCAGCCCTGACCCTACCCGCAGGAGTCGGCCTCGATATACTCGGGAAAGCAAGGCCTACTCAATGATACTGCTACCTGCTGAGGAGGAGGAGATAACACTGGGTGTCAGACCTGACAAGGTGAGGCCTGGTAACAGGGAGTGAGGGCTCTGTTGGAACTGAGGGCAGTGAGCTCTTTCCCCACTGTGGTATCTCTGTCCTCAGCGGAGGCCCCTGGAGCGTGGAGACACAGAGCTGGCTCCATCCTTTGAACAGCGGGTTCAAGTGATGTTGCAGAGGATTGGCGTGAGCAGAGGCAGTGGGAATGCCGAAGGCAAGAGGAAACAAGTGAGTTGGGAAGGGACACAAGTGCTCAGTGAGAGAGCAGGTGACATGTGGCTTGTTTTATGTGGGTATTTATGTGACCAGAAGATTCATGACACACAGACAGTCTGTTAGTTTTTAACCCCTCCCCTTCAAGTAGTCATCAGATTCACCTTTTCTTATCTCTTGGCTTTGGTCCTGGCCCAGGCCACTGATACCTCCCCTCCTTGAAGCTGGGAGAATCCTTTCTCTGCAGATCATACAGAAATCTGACCTTGTCACCTGCATTTCAAACAGGAAGTCCACCAGGGGCTCCCTATCAAGACATTTGCCCTGACTCCTAATCCTGCCTCCAGACCCAGTGGGGTCTCAGCCCAGGTCCCTGCTTTCATCTCACTGCTCTCAACCCCGGTTGCATCTCAGAGCTTCTACACAGGTTCCTCTGTCAGGAAGTCCTCCTCCCTGCCTCACTTCCAGCTTCTTATCACCACCTATGGTTACACCAGATTCCTCTTCATATAACCCTACATGTCCCTGTGGGCTTTCCTTGACTCTCTTCCATGTCCACCCTTTTAATACTGCTGTCTGATCATAGATCCTAGAAAGAACCATCACCCTATGAACTATCCCTTAAATAACTTTTCAAGAAAATAAACACATATAAAATGAGACAGCTTGAATTTAGAAACAATAAGGTATAGAAAATGAATCAGAATTAAGAACACTTTATCTGTGTATCTGTGGTTGCATATGCTTTTCCTCTGTGTTTACTGTCTACCATCCCAGACTGCAAGCTCCAGGAGGACCAGGACTGGGTTTGCCATGTTCTTGCCCAGCCCACAGTGGGCATTTAGTGGTGGTTATAAAAATGAAAAGGACAAGACTAGCATGAAGGTGGGACAGGACTGAGTTTGCTTTCCCTGTTCCTTACAGAGCAAAGATGGAGAAATCAAGAAGGCTGGCTCGGATGGTGAGACCCTGGGCTAAGGCAGTACATTTTGGGGGAAGGGGATGTCCTTAGAGATAGCCCCCAAGGGATTATTTGCTCTCCTTGGGAGGGAGTGGGAGAAGCCATGTTTTTCTCCCCCTCACCAAGGGCTGGTGCCTAAGCCTCCAGCCCTGCCTTTGCAGGTGACATTATGGACAGTTCCACAGAGGCCCCTCCCATCTCAATCAAGTCCCGCACCCACTCTGTGTCTGCTGGTGAGTAAGGGCCACTGTGTCTGGTGGGGGACATGCAGAGATGGACAGGACAGAGTGGGTCAGATCATTGGTCAGGCTCACCTCCAATGCATAGCCCAGGTCTTGGCTGACACCCTTTTCCCTGCAGACCCTTCATGCAGACCTGGTCCAGGGGGCCAGGGGCCTGAGTCTGCCACCTGGAAGACACTGGGGCAGCAGCTGAATGCAGAGCTCCGGAGCCGTGGTTGGGGCCAACAAGATGGTCCAGGCCCCCCGTCCCCTTGTCCCAGCCCAAGCCCCCGAAGAGCCAGCCCCTCCCCAGACAGCCTGGGCCTCCCAGAGGATCCTTGCTTAGGCTCCAGGAACGAAGGTAAGCAGATATTCTAGCTCCCACTCCAGAATTGGGCTAGTGACTAGAGGAGTCCCTGCTAGGAACTCAGCTCCTATGGGGATCCTGAAGGTGGGAGGCAAGGGCTGGAGTGGGGGCAGCTGTTGGGACCATACCCTGACACCCTGGCCTCCCCCAGATGGCCAGCTGAGGCCGAGGCCTGTCTCAGCAGGGCGACGAGCAGTGTCTGTGCATGAGGACCAGCTCCAGGCCCCTGTTGGTGAGGGGAGACACTTCCATGTGTGCTTGAGTGCAGGAGGAGATGGGAGAGGGTGGGCTCCCTTCATCGCTCTGGTCCTCTGAGGGGACCACTAGTGGCGTGAGGGGTTAAGAAATTAAGGAGCCAGAAGGCCAGGAGCAAGGGTCTGAGAAGCCCTTCCTACTAGCCCTGGCTCCACGTCCACAAGAGCAACCGCTGCCAGGGGTGCGTGGGTGCAGGGGAAGGGGGAGGCTCTAAAGGCAAGTGTGTGCACACATGCTGGAGGTGGGAAGGTGGGGGTTGAGGACAGGCAAGTCCTTAGCGACCCTCCCCAAATCCTGTATCCCTCAGAACGGCCCCTGCGCCTGCAGCGCTCCCCTGTCCTCAAGCGCAGGCCAAAGCTTGAGGCACCTCCATCTCCAAGCGTAGGTAAGAGGAGGCTGGGACCAGCTGGGAGGGTGGCAGGACTGCTCAGTCCAATCCTGACTCCTCTTTCCCCTTCTCCTGGTGCAGGATCTGGTCTTGGAGCCGAGCCTTTGCCCCTTCAGCCTACAGCGCCCTCCAGCCCTGAGTGGAGCCCACCCTCCTCAGCCACAGACCAAAGAGGCGGCGGCCCCAGCCCCTAATCGCCTCCTTTCTTGCCGCATGAGATTATTTTATTAAAAAACTCAGAAGAAGCCAGTGTGGAGCACTGTTTATCCACCCCCAGGCCTGGATCTGTGTGCACACATCCTCCCATGTGCTCACACGACCCCTCACACCTGGGTTAGTTCAGAATCCGTCTGTGGCTCCATCAGAAAGTGCAAGGCCCAGGCCACAAGCTGGGGAGGGAGTCTGGGAAGAGAACCATGGCTATAGGTCAATGGGGACTGGGATGGGTGACCAAAAGTGTGGGGGCAGCCCAAGGCACTTACCTGGCAGCTTGGATCTGGGCACAGACAGAGGGGCAGGGTGGCTCATACTCATATTGGAAGGCAGAACCATCACGATGCCTCTTTGGGGGATCCTGAAGTGGGTATGGTGTCTGAAGAGAGGCCAAAAAGGCCCCCAACCCCATCCAAGGATACCCTCAGCCCCCTTCCCATCTCTACCCAAGGCCTACCCCATTCGACCCTCCAGTTGTAGGGGGGCTATGCTCACCCAGACAGGACTGGACTCCAGAGCTCCCTTGGTGGCTCTTGTCCTTAGGGAGTGCTGCCAGGTCTCAGGGGTTAACCCTAGCTCCTTGAACTCCAGGCTAGGTTTCTGGGCCCTGGTTACATGGGCCTGGTGTGGACTGAGGACATGGCCAGTGGGTGACAGACTTGGGGTATAGCTCAGGAGTGGGGACTTGAGTACATGGCTAGGTTGTGGGGAACTGGTGGGCAGGGGGCCAGGCGCTGAGCAGATGGCTGGTAGGGGCTGGGAGCTGCCCTTCTGCACTGGGTCTGGAGCAGCCAAGGACAGGGCAGGCAGAAGGCTACTGCTGGCACTGCTTTCCTCTGACAGCATGTGGCTGGGTAAAGCAGGGGTTCCTGAGGAAGAAGGGACTCACCATGGACACAGCCCTCTCAACTCACACCAGCTGAGTGATCTGTGAGCTTAGGCGGGACTGTGTTCCTCCCCTACCCAGCTGTGCACCCTTTTGCAGCATCCCATGCAGCCCAGGAACCTGACAGCAGCAAGAGCATGGGGCCTGAGCACCACCTTACCTGAGGAAGTGGGTGAGGAAGGAGGAGAGGAGATCAGGGTCAGCGATAGGTCCTGTAAAGCCGGGTGTGGTGGGGGTAGCTCAGGGCCTGGGGGCCAGGGGAGGCTTATCAGCATTGTGGGCACTGTGCACACAGCTACTCCCCTCTTGACCTCTCCTGTCCTCCTTACCCTGTGGCCTCTGACCTGGGCCCAGGGAGCTCAGGATTTGCTGGTCATTCTCAGAGATGTGCAGCCATAGGCTGGGGACAGTGTACACAGCTTCTCCCTGTGGGATGTGAACTTTCAGTCTGGCCTTTGCATAACTCCCCACCCTGACATTTCCCAAGGGAAGCCCCAAACTGACCGTGGCCCTGCAGCGTGAGGCGGCCCAGCGGGTGAGAGGGGGTGCTGTGCAAGGGCCTGCCAGCATCAGACAGCTCTCAGCCAGGCGCACTAGCGTCCCCCAATGCTCCTGGTCCTCTTGTACCTCATCCAGAAGTTGGGACAGTGAAAGGCCTGGGAGCAGGGGACCAGGGAATGGGCTAAAGCTCAAAGAAGAGGAAGGGCAGGGTAGGGGCAAGGGGAAGGAGGGCTTATTAAGGAAGCAAGAGAGATCACTCTACAGGAGTTAGGGCAAACGGCCAACCCCTATAAGTACCTGCACTGGGGGAGATGGATTCTGAAAGATGCTGCCTAGAGAAACAGAGGGGACATGCTTGAGGAACAATCCTATCTACATACATCTGCCATTCTCTGACCAGCTGGCCCAAGAGTCTAACCCCAAACTCACTCCAAGCAGTCGTATAGTTTTTCCCGCACATCCGGGTCCTGATTGCTGGGAAAGAGAAGGGAATAGGCAGTCAGTGTTACTAGGGGCCCAAGCTCTCACACCCAAAACGCCTATGCCAACGCCAGCCAGGTCTGGGTGGGGAGAACAGTTGGGAGGGTGGGGTCATCACTTACCAACCAGTCACCTGTTCCCGGGGCTGCTCCGTGGGCAGTAGGCTGAAGCGGTCCACCTGGAGGTAGAACTCCGCGGGCTGGAGAGGTGAGTTTGGGAACGGGTCTCAGGAGTTGTCAGGAAGTCAAGCCCACTAACTCACCCAAGCCAGCCTCACCACTCACCGCGCCTCCCTCAGCGACTTGGATGCGGACCTCGCAGTCCTGCAGCAGCAGCAGCCGGCCTTCTGCCCCTCGAAAGCCGAACTCCTTCTCCTCCCTGCGAAGAGCCGGACCTTCACTGCCTAGCCCGACTGAACACAGCCCCACCCGCCTGGGGCCCTCCCTCCTTGGGCTCAAGCCTCGAG